ACACACACACACACACGCACACACCTATTTTCTCTCTCTCTATTTTATTCATACACGTGTGTGAAAACCGGTTTAGATCACTCCCACAAATGAATATTCTCTCTCTCTCTCTCTCTCTCTCTCTCTCTCTCTCTCTCTCTCTCTTTGTTATTCAGAGAGAGAAACGGTGTACAACCCCTAGGCCAAAACATTGTATTTGCGAAAAAAATGGTAATCTGCGTTTGATTACACCACAACAATATGATGAAGCTGTCGTAGTTGATCAACCAAATTTTCCCGGTTTAGCCGCAATTTTGACTCAAAATCGAGAAGTAATTCGTCAAATGAATCCAATGCCTGAGTGCATAATGGCCAAACCAAATCGACTTGCCATCGATGCGATCGATTTGATTCGTGATATGTCTCTTCGAAATGCCGCCGCTAACAATGGTGAGAACAGACAAAAAAAAGAGTATCTTTTCTGTGTCAAAATTCAAGTCAATTTTTATTATAACTGTTTTAGAGACAATTTGTGCTAAGTTGATTTAATCATTTTGATTTTGAATAAATGTTGTGCGCAAAAAATCATGAACAAAAAAAAATATTTAAAAAAATATAAAGCACAGGGGAATTAAACAAGAAAAATGTGTCACATGATTAGAACTACTAGCTAGTTGTTGGTGTCAATATTATTTTCGTATGGTTCCAATAGAGCAGCTTGTATACTGGGGCGTCAATTTTTTGCCATGTTGGTTTACCATTTGGAACTACATAGTATTGTATACAACGGCTTGATCTATCGACTCCTACAGATACATACAATCGACATTGGATGATTGGTTTCATTTTTCTCCAACATTTTTTATGTGATTCCGAAAAGGTGCTTCCTTCTTTATGCGCATTTTCAGAACCGAAATAGTGATTTTGTGCGCACACTTTCTTTGTGCGCACAAAATAAGTAAGGTCAATAATGCAAAAGGCTTTCTATGTAATATTCTATGTATTCAGGATCAAAACAAAAAACAGGTAAGGTTTTCTATTTTCTGCAAAATGCATGTGCATAAGAAAAGACTTATTTTGTGCGCAAAAACGAAGCTGTGAGATGTCAATTGCATTGTTTAAATGACAAAGACAAATTTTCAAGACCAATATCCCTTCATGAAAAAAACACAAATCTATTTATTACTACCTTTCATTCTCTCTTCACTAACCATCGTAATTGTTCATGACTAGACAATGAGCAAATGGAAAGATATTTCTTTACCGATTCATCTCTTTTGAATTTTTGAACTTTCCTGATTTTTGTAATCAAGCAAATGGAATAATTCGAAGAACAGTATTGATATTAGTTTTTGACTAGTAGGTTAAAATCAGTCGTGTTTTAGTTCTTGGGCACATCAAATGTTTCAGTCTTTTGCTGAAATAATTATTTTTTAAAAGTGAAAAAAAGAAAAATACTATATTTTTATCAATCAGATCAATATTTTGATAGTTTTTTTAATATTCAAAATGTAAGTTATTTTGTCTTAGTTTTCTTCTTGCCGGTAAATATTTTGCCAGAAAAGACCTTTATTCGTGCGTGATCGATCGATTTGCTTTTTTTCATGGGATATTTCTGGTGAACATTTGAAGAAAAAACTCATAAATATTATTATTCTAGGCGACTGTTGCTGGTGTTTTATTTGTATTCATCATTAACATCATACATATTCTCGTTCAACATTACCGATCTTGCCGATTGTCGCATAAGTGATTTTGGAACACTCAAAGAAAAACTGATCGATGATACTCATTCTTGTGACTTGAAATATTTATATCATATTTGTAACTGGAGAAATTTATCTAGACTTTATTTCGAGGAACATTCGTTAACAGCACTTCCACGTCATTTTCTATGGAACTGCCATAATTTAACCGATTTATATCTAAGCGGTAATAAAATAAAAAAAATTGCAAGAGATGCATTTGATAAGTTGACATCATTAGCCTATTTGGATTTATCAAATAATCAAATCAAAAGATTACATGAAGATACTTTTAAGCCATTGAAAGAATTAGAGTATCTACTTTTACAACAAAATAATATTCAAGTGATCGATTCCAATTTATTTAACCATAATACAAAGATATTTAGGCTATATTTGAATAATAACGATTTAAGAATCATTGGAGATGGGGCATTTCGGATGATTCCAACTTTGGGAAGTCTTGATATTTCCAGTAATCGTCACTTGAAGAGTATTGATTTAACCAATATTTCGCGTGGAGGTTCAGTTTTAAAGGATTTAAGCGTGAATCTAAGTAACTGTACCTTAAAAAAATTGTTCATTCCAATGAATGTAGTTGAGCTTAGCGTCTGCAGAAATCACATAACATCTATCAATGCTCATCCGAATAATCGATTGAAAGTTCTGAACCTAGATAATAATCATTTATCTACCATCCTCCATTTAAAATTGCCATATTTGACTCAGTTACTTATTGGAAGAAGAAATCGTATATCAATCAGCGATACTTACGGCTTTAAACAACTAACGTATTTGAACTTTGATTTAAATTCGAAACAAAACATAAATATTACTGAAATAGGAAAGAATTTACCATTGCTTCAAGACGTTTTCATAACATCTACAGACATGAGCACTGAACAACAAACACGAATTATCAACGATTTTAAACAATACAATGTTTATTGTTACGTTGATACATGTTTTGATTACGAATAAGACGAAATAAAATTATAAATATTCAGTATTTTAGTTATAGTCACGTAAATAATTATTATCTAGAAGTAACACTGTTTTTAATTATGTTTTTGTATCAGCTCTTTTACCAACACATTTATTTATTTTCCGTCTTCAAATATTGTGAACACCTTTTGAGACACGTTTCGCTTACCTTGCATTTATCAAATTTATCATTTAATCAGTTTGTCACGTTTAAACTAACATCTCTTTCCATATAAGTAGCCATTAGGTCACTATTTTAATAAATTCAGTTTCTAGTTTCAAATTGTAAAGAGTCATTTCATACCAGCCGTCGAGATAGAGGTATGTATTATATTATTTTACAACGAGCCTCAAAAATTCAATATTAAATGATCCAAATTGTCTAATCTTTTTCTGTTCCAAAGAGTTTTTTAAAATTCATTCTATTTCATTTAAATTTTTCAGATTTTCGTTTTTATGTTTCTTCTTCTCACAACATCACAAACAACAGCTCAAGAGCCAATCTTAGGAATATCGCCTCATCTTATTGAAGAGATGTCTCAATATCATGAAAACTACGATGAAGGTAAAGTCGTTACCCAAATATTCGAACAATTCTTCGGATGTAACAACGTATTTCACATCAGCCAACATTTTCAACCTCAGCCAGATGGAGAAGGAACACTTGGTCTGGTTTATGATTGCTTCTGTATGGAAGAATTTCTGAAAAATTTGTCATCTTTGTATCACTATTTCGGTTCTGAAAATGCGCATAAAGAAGGAAGCACCTTTTCGGAATCACATAAAAAATGTTGGAGAAAAATGAAACCAATCATCCAATGTCGATTGTATGTATCTGTAGGAGTCGATAGATCAAGCCGTTGTATACAATACTATGTAGTTCCAAATGGTAAACCAACATGGCAAAAAATTGACGCCCCAGTATACAAGCTGCTCTATTGGAACCATACGAAAATAATATTGACACCAACAACTAGCTAGTAGTTCTAATCATGTGACACATTTTTCTTGTTTAATTCCCCTGTGCTTTATATTTTTTTAAATATTTTTTTTTGTTCATGATTTTTTGCGCACAACATTTATTCAAAATCAAAATGATTAAATCAACTTAGCACAAATTGTCTCTAAAACAGTTATAATAAAAATTGACTTGAATTTTGACACAGAAAAGATACTCTTTTTTTTGTCTGTTCTCACCATTGTTAGCGGCGGCATTTCGAAGAGACATATCACGAATCAAATCGATCGCATCGATGGCAAGTCGATTTGGTTTGGCCATTATGCACTCAGGCATTGGATTCATTTGACGAATTACTTCTCGATTTTGAGTCAAAATTGCGGCTAAACCGGGAAAATTTGGTTGATCAACTACGACAGCTTCATCATATTGTTGTGGTGTAATCAAACGCAGATTACCATTTTTTTCGCAAATACAATGTTTTGGCCTAGGGGTTGTACACCGTTTCTCTCTCTGAATAACAAAGAGAGAGAGAGAGAGAGAGAGAGAGAGAGAGAGAGAGAGAGAGAGAATATTCATTTGTGGGAGTGATCTAAACCGGTTTTCACACACGTGTATGAATAAAATAGAGAGAGAGAAAATAGGTGTGTGCGTGTGTGTGTGTGTGTCTGCACTAATACTAAGAAACGTGGATGAAACCTACAATTTCATACTACTAGTGACATTGCAATTTTTTTTCGTTCAAAAAGTATAGTGACATTTTGCACGAAATACACGGCGACGCCGAATCCCCAACAAAGAAAGTTTTTGTTGTTGTTGTTGTTTAATTTGTAATTGGAAAACAAAAACCCGACAAATACCAAAGAAGCGATCAAAAGTATCATTAAAAGTTCCGCATTCACTGGCTATAAAAATTCATTCCATTCGATTTCCATCTTGGGGTTATTTACATCGATGTGAACTCTTTCAGGATAGAAACCCCGGTGTAAATTTGCTTAAAAGAGTCAATATACTTGCACTCCATTATACTCAAGACAACATACACGTAACTACGTGCAAATAACGAAAACAAAAAATCAAACTCATGGAGAAATGCAAAATAGTTGGACGGAATTGGGGCATTGCATACATCATATCGGTTTACAATAACCATTGTGTTTCATATATTCTTATCGTGCACCATTTATATGTAGATGATAAGTGTGCAATTTAAAATGGCGAATAATGGTGAATGTGTGGTGTAGCTATATTTGTAAGCATCGGAATAAAAGACAAACGTATGAGATCTTTGAGCGAAACCCGAATACAAATATATTTTGCTCAAAATACTAATGGAGAAAATCTTAGCGTAAAAACCAAATATCTTTGAAATCGGAATAAAAGTAAAATAACTCGACTTATTTTATTTTCACTCGCAATTTGTATACATTTGGTTTTTACGCTGAACATTTTTATATTAGGTTTTCATGCGTATTTTTCAAATAACAATAATTGGTTTGAGACTCAAACTTTGAGTTTAACTCAACTCATTGGTTCGCTTCCATAAGAAAATACATGGTCCACACGTTCGTAGAATGAGAAGAAACTCAATTTATGCTCAATGTGTTATTTTATGGTCGAGATTTTATCTCGCTCATCCTTGTATGTATTATTGTGTTTACAAACAACATTCTGTTCACATGCAGTTCTCACTTTTATTTTGCTGCGCAATAAAAATCATCGACACAAAACTCAAAGCGATGGCCATTGACATCAATTTTTATTGCGCAGCAAGATTTTAGTGCGAGTTATATGTGAATAGAATGTCGCTTGTAAACACAATACCATATATAGAACAAATATGCAAGGATGAGCGAGACAGCATGAGACAACAACTTGCCAAGCACGATTTTGGTGACAGGGATAGCAAATTTTTACGTTCTGATTGCACCAGATGATATAGAGCATTTAGTGGCATGAGAATTGTGAAAAAAAATCGCATGTTTTTTCACTTCTTATGTGCTCTATGGCAAATACAAAATATGTACGGACGTACATAGTGTCATTTCAGCGGTCTTCCGTGTTTTTCATACAAGCCTCCCAAATAGATGATGAAAAATCGAGAAAAATGAAAAAAATAATTAATTTTTTTTTCTTCGATTTACAAATACTACTCAATTTTCTGTATCATCTGGTGAAATCAGAATATAAAAACTCGCATTCCTTATCATTTAAATCACGATTGGCATTCGGTCACTATTCAATAGGTGTTACATGGGAAGTTTATATGACACTCTCGGAGACTCGGTATAGAGCACTCAAACAGTGAAAAAAGTCCAGATCGTGATTTGGATGATAAGGAATGCGTTTTTTTTCATTCTGATTTCACCAGGTGATACAGAAAATTGAGTAGTATTTGAGAATTGAAGAAAAAAAATTAATTATTTTTTCATTTTTCGCAATTTTTTACCATCTATGTACATGGGAGGCTTGTATGAAAAACACGGAAGACCGCTGAAATGGCGAATACAAAATATGTACGGGCGTACGATAGTGTCATTTCAGCGGTCTTCCGTGTTTTTCATACAAGCCTCCCAAATAGATGATGAAAAATCGAGAAAAATGAAAAAAATAATTAATTTTTTTTTCTTCGATTTACAAATACTACTCAATTTTCTGTATCACCTGGTGAAATCAGAATGAAAAAAAACGCATTCCTTATCATCCAAATCACGATCTGGACTTTTTTCACTGTTTGAGTGCTCTATACCGAGTCTCCGAGAGTGTCATATAAACTTCCCATGTAACACCTATTGAATAGTGACCGAATGCCAATCGTGATTTAAATGATAAGGAATGCGAGTTTTTATATTCTGATTTCACCAGATGATACAGAAAATTGAGTAGTATTTGTAAATCGAAGAAAAAAAAATTAATTATTTTTTTCATTTTTCTCGATTTTTCATCATCTATTTGGGAGGCTTGTATGAAAAACACGGAAGACCGCTGAAATGACACTATGTACGTCCGTACATATTTTGTATTTGCCATAGAGCACATAAGAAGTGAAAAAACATGCGATTTTTTTTCACAATTCTCATGCCACTAAATGCTCTATATCATCTGGTGCAATCAGAACGTAAAAATTTGCTATCCCTGTCACCAAAATCGTGCTTGGCAAGTTGTTGTCTCATGCTGTCTCGCTCATCCTTGCATATTTGTTCTATATATGGTATTGTGTTTACAAGCGACATTCTATTCACATATAACTCGCACTAAAATCTTGCTGCGCAATAAAAATTGATGTCAATGGCCATCGCTTTGAGTTTTGTGTCGATGATTTTTATTGCGCAGCAAAATAAAAGTGAGAACTGCATGTGAACAGAATGTTGTTTGTAAACACAATAATACATACAAGGATGAGCGAGATAAAATCTCGACCATAAAATAACACATTGAGCATAAATTGAGTTTCTTCTCATTCTACGAACGTGTGGACCATGTATTTTCTTATGGAAGCGAACCAATGAGTTGAGTTAAACTCAAAGTTTGAGTCTCAAACCAATTATTGTTATTTGAAAAATACGCATGAAAACCTAATATAAAAATGTTCAGCGTAAAAACCAAATGTATACAAATTGCGAGTGAAAATAAAATAAGTCGAGTTATTTTACTTTTATTCCGATTTCAAAGATATTTGGTTTTTACGCTAAGATTTTCTCCATTAGTATTTTGAGCAAAATATATTTGTATTCGGGTTTCGCTCAAAGATCTCATACGTTTGTCTTTTATTCCGATGCTTACAAATATAGCTACACCACACATTCACCATTATTCGCCATTTTAAATTGCACACTTATCATCTACATATAAATGGTGCACGATAAGAATATATGAAACACAATGGTTATTGTAAACCGATATGATGTATGCAATGCCCCAATTCCGTCCAACTATTTTGCATTTCTCCATGAGTTTGATTTTTTGTTTTCGTTATTTGCACGTAGTTACGTGTATGTTGTCTTGAGTATAATGGAGTGCAAGTATATTGACTCTTTTAAGCAAATTTACACCGGGGTTTCTATCCTGAAAGAGTTCACATCGATGTAAATAACCCCAAGATGGAAATCGAATGGAATGAATTTTTATAGCCAGTGAATGCGGAACTTTTAATGATACTTTTGATCGCTTCTTTGGTATTTGTCGGGTTTTTGTTTTCCAATTACAAATTAAACAACAACAACAACAAAAACTTTCTTTGTTGGGGATTCGGCGTCGCCGTGTATTTCGTGCAAAATGTCACTATACTTTTTGAACGAAAAAAAATTGCAATGTCACTAGTAGTATGAAATTGTAGGTTTCATCCACGTTTCTTAGTATTAGTGCAGACACACACACACACACGCACACACCTATTTTCTCTCTCTCTATTTTA